GACCAGCGCCAAGTCCAGCCAGAACGTGGACGAGGCATTCAACTTCCTGGCCACGGACATCCTGATGAACATGACACGGAGGGCGGTAAGTGGTGATTGGACGCCGGTCATGTGACCCCCTCCCCTCCGAATAACGCGGCTGACCCTCTCTCTCTGTTTTTTTTTCTTGCAGTCTCACGGCATGAAGGACCCGGTGGATTTAAAGAACCCCTCCAAGAAGGGGGGCAGCAAGTGTTCGATGGTATAGAGGTCGCCTTCCGGGGGCCTATCAGAGACTTAGAATCCAATAAGAGACATTATGGGACCCCTGGCCCCGCCCCCTGTGGAATTGGGGGTGTCATCCTCATCCTGAGATCCTTCTAGAACAGTAAGGGGGGGTGTTTAGATTAAAGGACACTAGAGGGGGATGTGAGCAGAGAAACCGCCCCACTTCTCGTGAAGGATCATCTGACCGCCCCTAAAAGCTCCGCCTCCACCCCTGTCCGCCATCCTGTCACATATTTAAAGGAGGCCTCTACTGAGAGATATGGCCACTGACCCTGCTGTAGTCAGGACTCCTGACCTGCCGGCCGTCTCCCAAGCTGGGTCCTGAAGCCAAAGGATGACCATGACAACCAAGGAACCATCAGGCAGCTAGCAACTTGGGCCGTGGCAGCTTCCATCAGATGCTTCTCACACACTTCACGACCGATTCCTTCTGACGCTGCTGGTGGTTTTGAATTTCCCTTCTTGTTCCGCAAGGCCTGCGCCGGCTCTTGAATTATCCATGGCGCCCAACAAGAAACATTCCTCCTCCCCCCTCCTCCTCAAGGGAACCACCTGAACATTCCTGTTACATTCTTCAAGAGCCTACGGATGAGTGAACCACATGAGCCGTGACTACTATGTACAAAGCCCATGACCTGAAGATGGCGGATGCATCTGACGGAGCGGAGGCTCCGCCCCAGATCTGTAATTGCAGTATTATTATTTTTGGGTGGGGGGCGGGGTTATTAAACCACACCCCCTCCCTTTCAGAACTGTGAGCCCAAAGGGATCGTCTGATTGGTTGCTACCGGCAGATTTTTACAGATCTTACACCGGGTGGTGTGAAGCGGGCGGAAGGCTCTGATTGGCGGCAACGGAAAACTGGACACCAAGCCGATGTCCTATTGGCCGGTTTTTGGATCCTGTACGAGGCGTCTCCCTGGCAGGTTTATGTTTTGTTGTTAGGAGAGCGCTCGGCTCTCTGCAGGAAATCCTCTAACATTCGATACGTATTTGTTATGAATAGAAATAATAAAGTTGATATTATTTTATTGTTGGATTTTTGAGGCAATCTGATTGGCCGAGAGTTCGTAACATTCGCCGTCGGTAGAAATCCGGGGTCATGCGGTGCAGTGTAGGGCTGCAGCTAACAATTCTTTTCATAACCGATTAGTTAGTCGATTAATCGGATAAAAAAAAAAATAATAATATCGTCATTTATTTAAAATAAAATACACAAATGCCGCGTTACAGACATAAACTTTCCTTCAGAATAAAACTGAATGCACAAAATCGCACGGCACTGGAACACACTGCATTGTGGTACCGCACGTTCCAGTTGCCAATGATTCTCATCGATTATAATTTAATGGATTAGTTGTTGCAGCGCTTGTCTGGTGTATACTGCCGTCCACTGGAATGACGGTGACACCTCTCTGCATGTGTTCAGAGCTTTCTGATTATTTTGTACTTTGTGTCTCTTTTCTTTCCCCCGGAAGGTTCGGAGAGACCAAAATATAAAAGACCCGAATACACACGGAGACGGCGAACTGGATCAGACCATCGGAGTGCAACACCAGACAAAGACGACTTGATTCTGGATGGAGAGGGGAGGAACTTCTAACTATTGCTGTCTATGACTTCCTGTCCCAGTGACAACCACTTCCTCCCTTTACTTGTATGGGTGTTACAAGGACAGGAAGTCAGGAAGAATCTAGCCAATGGCAGTGCTAAGTGTAGGAAGTGATAACTCCCAATTTCCCTGAATTCAGTGAGCCTGGAAGGAGGAGACAGGTCGGCATCAAGTGGCAGTTCGTGGTCACATGGTTCACGCCTACAGAAAATAAATGGCAGCTGCTCTGAAAGTTTAAATGGGAAGTTTAATCTGCTGGTTTCTGTATATACTTCAATTGGGTGACAGGTCCTCTTTGCTGGCTAGCACACATGACTGATTCACCAGGCTGCAATGGCACACCAGGCATGCTAAAATGACCCAGAGGCCACTTTGGCATGCCTTAGGGGCCCAATGAAATGGGGACCCATCAACCATCTTTACAAATCCCATCATGTATCTGTCTCTGGGAGCCATGCCTGTGAGAATCTTGCAATCCCTCATGGGATTTGTAGTTCCAAAACAGCTGGAGGGCCAGAGTTTGCCTACCCCTGCTTGTTTTCTGTACACAAGGCGAGAGGCGACATCTACAGAGGCTCAATGGTCCCCAATTCATTAGGTGCCTAAGGCATGCCAAAGTGGCCCCTCTGTCATTTTAGCATGCCTTTGTGTGTCATTGCAACCTTGTGGATCAGGGCCTGTCCTTGCTCATTTTCTATGCATTCAGCAGATCACCCCCAAAGCTGCTGCAGGTGAACTTCAACACTTAGCTTTATGTGCAATTGTTTGGGCACCTCAAGAGCCTGCACAATGGGATAATACGCACTCTCGATCCTTTCACTGCCGGAGTTATGCTTTAAGTGGTGCTGGAACTCATTGAATGGTGGTGGACCTCAATGTCATGCTGGAAATTGTCGGGTGACGTTCCCGGAAACATTTATTCCAGAAGAGAACTGTTGCAGCCACTGCCAGGAAATCATGGGATCTCTGAACATTTACATCAATGGGGAAAATACTGGAATCCCCAACATTGCAATTGTCCAGTATTGAGAAATACAGATGGCAGCTGACAGCAGTGATACATAAATGAAATAAATGAATAAAAATGGTGAGCCAGCAGTTTCTCCTGTGGCCAAACGAAGGCGCCCTGTGAACATATACAATAATAAGCTCAGTGACACGGTTGTTGCAATTCCTGCTGTGGCCACACGAAGGCGCCATGCGACACAAGCTCAGTGACAAGTTTGTTGCAATTCCTGCTGCGACCACACGATGGCGCTCTGCGCACACACAATAAACTCAGTTACAAGTTTGCTGCAATTCCTGCTGCGACCACACGAAGGCGCCCTGCGCACTAACAATAAGCTCAGTGACAAGGTTGCTGTAATTCCTGCGGTGACCACACGAGAGCGCCCTGCGCGCAAACAATATGCTCAGTGACCCGGTTGCTGCAATTCCTGCTGCGACCACACAATAAACTCAGTGACACGGTTGCTGCAATTCAAACTGCGGCCACACGAGGGCGCCCTGCGCTCACACAATAAGCTCAGTGACAAGGTTGCAGCAATTCCTGCGGTGACCACACGAGGGCGCCCTGCGCGCACACAATATTCTCAGTGACACGGTTGTTGCAATTCCTGCTGTGACCACACGAGGGCGCCCTGCGCGCACACAGTAAGCTCAGTGACAAGGCTGCTGCAATTCCTGCTGTGACCACACGAGGGCGCCCTGCGCACACATAATAATCTCAGTGTCACGGTCGTTGCAATTCCTGCTGTGACCACACGAGGGTGCCCTGCGTACACACAATATGCTCAGTGACACGGTTGCTGCATTTCCTGCTGCCGCCACACGAGGGCGCCCTGCGCGCGCACACAATAATCTCAGTGTCACGGTTGCTGTAATTCCTGCTACGGCCACACGGTGGTGGCCTGCGCACACACAATGAGCTCAGTGACACGAGATGGCGCTCCCGCCTGCACTGACCACCTCGCTCAGTGACCCGGGGTGCAGTTCCTTCTGCGACCACAAGAGGGCGCTCGGCTGACGCCTCATACCGGAAGTAGTCCCAAAGTGTCACCCGGCGGAAAGGTGATTTGTCGCTCCGGGAAGGAGTCGGGAGAAGTTGGAGATGGAGGCCACAGTGGGGTGGCTGCTTAGAGCCGTCATCGTTCTGGTCGTACACAGGTCAGTCCGATCTTCTTTCTCCTCTTCTCGCTAGAGACGCGCTCTGCCGGGAGTGTGTCACAGTGATTAGTGTCCCCCCTCCCATGGTGGCAGGAGTGTGTCACAGGGATTAGTGTGTCCCCCATGGTGGCAGAAGCGTTTCACATTGATTAGTGCTTTCTCCCTGCCTGGAGTGTATAACAACATTAGCGTCCCCCTGT